GGATGGTGGGGATGGCTGCACAACAGTGTGAATATACTTAATGCCACTGAATTGTACGCTTAAAAATGATAAGTTCTATTATGTATATTTTACCGTAAATTTTAAAGAATTTAATGGAGGTAATAATAGCAGAGTTGGGAGGAATAAACAAGGGGAAATATATAAAGGGCCTAGCATAGTACCTGACAAATAGTAAATGCTCTGCAAATAGTAGCAATGAGGATTATTATTTCAAGTCCAAAAGCTGAAGCCCTGGCAGAAGAATGGGCCTGCCCAAGGTCACAAAGCTTCAAGGTACAAGCTGGATTGAAAACCAGGTTTTCTGCTTCCTTATCCAGTGCTCTGTTGCACCCTCCCTGAGTTACTTTCTATCTACTCAGAAATGTTTTCTTTTTCACCCAGGAGTCCCTAGGGCTGAAAGGCTCAGGGATCAATACCCTGAGAGGCGATGCTCTCTACCTCCAGTTCTAAAGAGAACAGAACCCTCAAAACTCTATTTTTGCCTTCCTTCCCCTTTTGCTGCTCTTGCTGTCTGCCAACTGCCATTTCTCCCCCTAGGTCTGTTTGGCTGTTGTCCTGGTTTCTCCTTCTCACTAAATATCTGGGTTTCTGATCGTTTCCTTTATTTCCCAGATGTACTAGTTTACATTTTCCCAATTCACATCCCTTATGTTCTCTAATCCAGATTTCTAGACTCTGTAGGGGAGACAAATTTTTTTTTCTCTCCAGAGTTTTTAAGCAAATAGACTATTTCCCTCTCATTACTTATGTGCAATAACTATTCTGGTAGGTTTTGGTGTTCTGGTCAGGGAAGCTGAGCAGAAACAGGGTGGGAAAACAGGTTTTTCGGACTGTGCCTTGGTGATATCTTAGGTCACTGCAGAGATGAGGCTTTTAAAATGTGCAACAAAGGCTCAGCGTTTGCTTGTCACATATGGTAAACATTGCTTAAAAGAAGGCAAAGACTCTTGAAAACCTTAGTGGCACCCTAGCTTACTAAATAAATGTCTGCAGATGGTCATGATGATGCCCATAGTTCCACAGGTATACCTGTAAAAGGACATGTGTAAGAGCCCCCGAACAAGAGCCCTCCCTACCTAATTTTGGGGCATGCAGAACAAGAAACAGTCCCTGGGGTGGAACGAAAACTCAGGAGCCTGAAGATCACATAAATGAATAGAAACCCTATCTATATATCTTATAAAAGCAGGAAGGAATTTAGATTTTCAAATATTAGCCACCTCATCTTACAAATGAGACCCAGTGACACGCCAAGTCATACAAGTAGCCCAAGGATCTTTCAGTCTCTCAGGAGAATTCTGAAGGCAGATCTTTCTTAAGGTTACTACTGCTTCCTTGCTCCTTAACATTTATGTTTTCAACTTTTATGGCTCAAAGGCAAAATTTCAACTGAAATTTGTTGCTGCCAGTGAGTTCAAGCCTGCACTGTTTCTATGGGGACGGCTTTGCAGCAGCATCCCCGTGGCCCCAAGTGTTCACAGCCACAAGTGGGAGCTATAGTTCAAAGGGCTGGAGAACCCCTCAGGGCAGTTGTGAAAGATTTCTTGTGACTCCCTCCCAGATTCTTCCTCAGCAGCGGTATAGGGAATGGGTGAAATGAGGATGTGGGAAGAAGAGAGGATACGGGGGGAGAGGAGAGGATGCCTCTGGGTTGGAGGGGATTCAGCATTGTTCCACAATCTAACCAGCAGGGGAGCAGGACTGTAAGGCAACTCTGAGGCTCTGGGGGAAGTCTCCTGTAGAGCAGGAGGAGGAAACATCCGGCCTGCAGCAGCATTAAGGGGGGGGCTAACGTGTCCCAGGAGGGAAGGATGCCACCAGCATGCCACCTCTTAATATTGGCACAGTGGGATCCCAGTAAAGCACTGACTTGAGGGGTATGTGTTCTACCCAAAACAATATGTCTGTTCAGGTTGTTCCGTAGCATGTTGTGAACTGATTTGATCTCAAGTCCTTTTTTACAACAGGTGGAAAGGTAAATTTAATCCATGTTTTAGTTTTAGCTACTACAAATACATTATCCTAGAGCTTTTCATGGCACACATCTCATAAAGAAATGCTGAAGTTCGCCAAGAGGCTCCCGAGCTTTGGTCATATTTCAGCACTTACAGGAAGTGCTCTGTACTCACATATAATATAATAATAATAATAATAATAGACTTCCCTGGCAGTCCAGTGGTTAAGACTTTGCCTTCCAATGCAGGGGGCGCAGATTCGATCCCTAGTCGGGGAGCTAAGATCCCACATGCCTCACGGCCAAAAAACCAAAACATAGAACAGAAGCAGTATTGTAACAAATTCAATAAAGACTTTAAAAATGGTCCACATCAAAAAAGTCTTTAAAAAAAATAATACACATTAAGTCCTTATTTATGCTAGGGACTGTGCCACATGTATTAAGCACTTATTTATGCTAGTTATTTTTCCAAGTGTATTAACATGTATTAACTCAGTAACCTAATGAGGTAGCTAGTATATTCATCCCTATTTTACAGATGAGGAAACTGAGGCATAGAAAGGCAAAGTAAACCAACAAGGTCACACAGCTAACCAAGTGGTAGAGCCAGGATTTGAATCCTGAAAGTCTGCCTTCAGAACACTTGTGTGTTTAATCCTACACTGCATTGTTGGGTGAATCAACTGTTTGCTAAATAAATAGTTTATCCCTGAGCCAGGACTTTCAGACTTTCACAGTGTGAACATATGTAGCCATACCAGATTGTCCCAAACTTGCTCGATCCTAAGAATTACCTGGACATTTGCAAAGATACAGATTCCCAGACTCTAGCCCAGATCTACCCACAAGCAAGCAAGCTTGGAAAACCCGAGTTTAGGTGGAGTGAGCACCACTAACCCTAAATGTCATGAAATCTAGGTTTCTGTCCTGACTGTACCTCTGTTTCTGAGACTTTGGGCAATGTCACTTCTCAATACCTTAGTTGCTCTGTTGGCTGCCTCTTACTTACTGGAATGTTATAAGAATACATGAAATTTTCCCCCCTCATAAAGAAAATCTGTTACTTAAACAAATGATCATATCCCCATAAAATGATATGCATGTATCAACAAGTATGTTAACTCATACACTTTTTTTAGCTTTGCTTTCCTTGAAACACAAACCTAAGCCCCTCATCCAGAACTTTCCTCTAGCCTCTACTCCAGGTGACACAGATACACACCCCAAACCAGGCTGCATCTGACCGACATTAGCTCTCTCCCTCTGGGAGCTCTGATCTGTTCTCTGCTCAGCCCAACAATGAGAAACTTTTTTCTCTTCTCCCTCAGGGGACCCTTCACGTTTATCCAATTCATTCTCTTGCAACCCAACTCTCCAGAAAGAAAAGGGGGGAAAATCCCACCCCTAAGAGACGATCTTCAGGTCTGAGGAGGTTACTTAGCAACGGCACAAAGACCAGTGAGCAAAGGGGGGACCTGGGGAGAAAACTCTTGGGTGGGGAAACAGAGCCAGTTTGAAAACTCCATTTCATCCAGAGAAAAACAACACAGAAAACACAAACATAATCAACCCTGAGAAAAGCGAAGCGGGGCTTCTCCCCAGCACAGGTCATCTCCTTACACGCTGCATCTCAACTCTTTCAACCCCCCAGCGACCAAGTTCTCCCCCTGGTTTTGCCCATGGCCCGGGTGCCCTCCCCTTGCCCTGGCCTGACCCACACAGGCTTGGGCTCAAGGCCCCCCCAACCCCTCCCCGGCACCCACCGTTCTCAGACGCGCTGGGACCTTCGCAGTCCGAGATTAACTGTTGGGGTTTCCGCTGCTTTCGCCGAGACATTCCCGGGTGGAGAGAGGTGGGACGGGGAGGGGCAACTCTCACTTAGTCTTAACCGGGGTGACCTGGTCTGGTCTCCCCCTTGGGTCTGAAGCCAACTGATGCCTCTCCCCCAGTGCCAATCACTGTGAAGCAGAGATGTTCTCCCTTCCAAGGGACAGACAGACAGACAGACGCGCGCGCTCTGATTCTCTGTCCCTGACTCTCTCTCTCTCTTCTCTCTCAATCTCTGCAAGTCTTTAAAGGGGAGACGCCCCCTTTTTTTTCTTCAGCTTCTTCCCTACGCTTCTGCAGCTCCCATTGTAAAAGCAAAAATCCTAATCTTTCCGCACACTCTTTTCTTTTGTACTGCAGAGGAAAGGATTTAACCCTCTCCTCCCTGCCCAGGCTCCCGGCCTCTCCGTGTGCTGTCTGTTCAGAAAATGTCCCTCGGTTGTTTTTCTAACTCTTCTTCTAAGCTCTTCACAGTGCTTTTTGGTTATTTCATGATTCTATGCCACCTTGTTTGATGATGGGACTGCTTCTGAGGTATAAGCTGAAATGAGAACTTTCTGGTATATCCTGATTATAAGGCCAATAAGTCAGCTACCTGCCAGTCAAAAATGAGGATGTGAAAGGCTGACAAAAAGATTGAGCAAAAAAGGTCATTATAATAATAACTTAATATATGTAGATCTCTTTATAATTTATAGGATATTTTCGTGTACAGGGCATATTTTGAGTATTACAACTTTGAGGTTAGCACAGCAGGTTTTACTACTCCTATTTATAGATGATCCTCTTTATAGATAAACCGAAAGGCTCAGTGAGGTTAAGTAACCTATCCAAGACTGCACAGCTATGATGCAACAGAGACAGGCCTGCAAGCCAGGTGTATCTGACAGTAGTCTAGCATTTTTTCCCCTCTATATTGTTAAAGGTACAATATGCCACCAGACTCCTAGTGTGAAAAAAAAAAAGATTGATCTTAAGGAATCTCATTTAAAATAGTGTCTCTTCTGTCTCTCCCACTCCTGTCCAGCTCCCAGGGTTGAGGGATGCCACCTTTGAGAAGATGATATAGATGAGTTCTCTGGTGCTTCAGAGTAGAAGCTACAAGGAGGCACTTTCAGCTCAATATAAAGGAACTTTCTAACGTGTAATGGACTCTCCAGTAAATGTGTGAACTCTCTGTAATATGTTCTCACAGAGGCTGAAAACAGTCGTCAAGGATTCTGTGGAAAGAATTTATTTGTGGATGTGAAGTTTGACCTTTAAGAATACATCATTTGGCAACCAGCCAACTGGACCTCTCCTGTTCAGCTTGCACACTTAAGGGTGATTGGTTTATTGTTCTTTAACTTCTGACCTTGCTGTTCCTCCCTGAATTTAAGGTACTACTGTTACCCCTGGGCATAGAATATCCAGATATGCCCTATCTCCTAGCTTTATGCCTAGGTCCTCTCTTTTAACCTTATTTATCTTTTACTCTTCTGGCTAAGAGAGCATCTGAAACACCATCTGTTAGGAAAGTGGGAATGATTTTCCCCTTTGGAGTTGAGTGATGCAAATCTCTGATGGCTGTGTCTTCAGAGAATAGCAAAGCAAAGCTCACTCGGTGTTGGGTGCAAACTTGAAGTTTCCGTCATTTCTTCCCTTAACGCAAGTCCAGGCTATTTTGGCAATACTAAGAAAGGGAGAGAGAGACAGATGGTAGGAGGGTTGCTGGTGATAAATGAAGCAGGTACCACCATCTGAAGAGATTTGGAAAGCACTCTGATCTTTGCTTTGGAGTTCACTGAATCTCCATTATTTTCCCAGTCCTTTGGAGTCAGGACCTTGAGTGGCTCCCTCACGGTCAACCCTTGGAACTCTTGCTGACACTGTCTCATTCATCCTGTTAACCTCCCTGTGGTAGACAGGTGCAGTTATCACTAGGCTATTGTAGGGGAAATGGGAACACTGGGGCCAGGAAAGCTTCTAATTTCTCAGTGGAATAGACTGGGTTTTGTCACTCTTTCATTCCACTGTTTCCATCTGTACTTCCTCTTTGAGGAAAAGAAATGAGAGAAGGAACATAGCTTTCTGCTTTTCTCAGGAATCTGGAGATCTCCAAGGGCAGATCTGGGGGCCCAATATTCATCTCTTTACTGAGTCTTGTCTGTCTGGTCTTTTCCTACTTTGGTCCACCCTCCTTCTTGCTGGCCTTATTGTGAAAGGAAGGGCTCTTTCCCCTCCTCTCCTTTCTTCCGCCCTCCCCCATTTACCATTTTTTCCTTTTACCTCTCCACTGTGGCCTCTTGACCTCCCCACAGAGTTACAAAAGTAAAATCCTTGAAGAGATGCTGCTGTGGGAATGTTAATGAGCCTTCCCCACAAAGGGGCAAAGACTTTACTTCACTGAGTTGGAAAAAAGCCCCTTTGAAAAGGGGTTTCTGTGTGTGGTGAAGTGGAGAGGGGAGGGGAAGGAGAGAGAGGGAGAAAAGAAGGGAGGGAGAGAAAGAGCAAGAGAATGAAAGGAGAGAGAGAAATGAGAGAGAGAGAGAGATTGAGAGAAACAGCAGAAGAGAATATTAAAACAACACTGTTCTTTCTTTAATTGGTGATTTAATTTTTGGAAAATGTTCCATAGTCATTTGACCTCGTAAACTAAGCATTTAAGTTCCCAAAAAAGCTGAAGAGGCACTCAAGGGCGCTGAAGATAATAAAGGATGGGAAAAAGGGACTTATCCTGGCACCCTGTCCCCAGTTCCTTCTCATGTGTGGGAGACTGAGAGGCTCTAGTGGGGGAGGATATTCTGGTTGGGGGGAGTTGGTGGTGAAGATGGGCTTCTTATTCTGGTTTTGTGGTTCCTCCTTATGATATTTTCTAATTTTATCAACATTTTTTATTTTGGCTTCCCTATTGACTTAAAATTTTTCCTCTCTTCAGGAATAGCTTAAAGTACTGTTGGGTGTTTACATTGTGGAGCCAATTTTCAAGCCAGACCACTTGAGCATAATCTCTGTATCCTTCATTTGTGAGCACAGGTTGCCTCTGAATTAGTTAAAATGGATGTTAAGGTACTGTTAGTATCAAAAAAATAAGTCCCTGAAAAGCAAAGATATGATGTTGCTTTTTAAAAAAATTGAAGCATAATTGAATGTTGTTGCTCTTTGAAGAAAGCCAGTCATTATGTTTGACTCTCAGAGATTTTCCTACATGTTGTTTTGTGATATCAGCATAACACTCCAGTTAAAGAAGCCCAGAACTGTGAAGAACAAAGAGAAGGTAGGTGATTGGAATGAGATCCTTGGAAGAGAAAGAAGAGGGGCCAGTCAGGGATGCTAATTCCCAGAGCTCTGTAACTCCTCTGGACTCAAGGTAATCAACCACATGGGGAATCTGCCGAGAATTCACATTCCTAGCCTCTACCCCTGATCTACTTAATCAATCTCTCGCAGGGTGGGGATGGGGATGGAGCCTACGATTTAAAAATAAGCTCTTAAATGATCCTTTTGCAGTTTGAGACAATTGAGCTTGACTGTTGCTTTCTAAACCATAAGCTCTAGATTCTTAGGGGTCTGCAGTGTTGTTGCATCAGAATCCATGTACACATGAAGTGAGCCCAGCCTGTGGCCCCAATAAATAACATGCCTCTCAAATGTATATACTACTGTTGCCCAAATGTTTGTTGATGTTGTTGAGTGTAATACACTTTTAAGTCACTGAAAGTGTTTCTAGACTCATAATGGCTTTTGCTCTAAAAATACAACTACAGTCATGTGGGAGTCCAGGAAATTCTTTGCCATTTCATTGAAGGCCTCTTCTCTCCAGACAATACCCTGTTTCTAGTTTGTAGAGGAGCAGGCACTGTGGAAGCATTTCATCTACCTTCCTGAAAGTTAGAATCCCATGAGGAATTTGATTTTAATTGCAAGAGAACTAAACTAGGAGTCTAGAAAGCATGTAACCTTTCTATTGATAACCTTAGTCATAGCTAATCATAGCTTGGGTGCATTCTGCTTACTACGCCCTTTAATTGCACGGTCTCATTTAATCCTTAAAATAACTTTGCAAGGTAAACATTGTATAATCCCCATTTTAGACAAGCAGAACACCCCATTTTACAAATGAAGAAATTGAGGCATGGAGACGCAAAGTAGCTTTCTTGTTCAAGGTCTTACAGCTGATAAACAGCAGGTTGAAATTTGCCCAAGTCATGCCTGATTGGACAGCCTGTGTTTTTTCCGCCACAGTGTGACCATTTATTGCCATCCCACTGATTTCTGCCTCTGCTATAGGCCTCACTTTCTGGGTGCAGACCTGGAGGATGACAAACTTTCAACTTACAGAGAAAATGTGAAGACCTACAAGTAAATATCTACAACAAATTATGGTTCTTATAATCACATGTACTACCACATGTTCTTTGTCTTGCTAGCATTAAGGGAGTTAAGGCAATGAAGGGTAAGGGAAAAGTACCCTCTGCAGAACTTTATTAAATAAGAAAGCACTGGCAAGCAAACCTTGGTTTTATTGGATGATTTCCGCCTGGCCTCTTTCAGGTGGCAGTTGCCATGGTGTTTTAGGGGCAGAGGGAGGGAGTGAAGATCAAGGAGGTCATTCGGACTGAGGCTTTTCTGGTGTGTCTTTTCAGAGTTCATTCTGCAAAAGATGGCAGGAATTTAAACATTCATAAGAGAAAGGACAGAAGTTATTCTTTTTGTGTTTCTTAATTTCTCCATGTTACTGATGTTAAATAAAGGGGAAACGGAGTTTGTGAAGAGGTCAAGGTTGTGGAACTGGAAAGGGAGGTTGTGGGGGAAGGGCCAGGAGCCTAGCAGGCAGAGAAGCCTAGAGTGGGGGTGGGAGTGTGTGCGCGCGTGTGTGCGTGTGCGTGCGTGCGTGCGCGTGTGTGTGCGTGTGTGTGTGTTTTCAAGGACGAAATTATAGGAGCAATTTGCTAAAGTTCTGGGGAGCCTGAGGTTGTTCATTTGAAAGAAAATCAACAAATGAGGTACAAGCAGTGAGGGCAAGGTGGGGAGGGAGCATGATGACAAAGGCAAAACAACAGCAACAACAACAACTAAACCCCAAGCCATCAGAAGGAAAAGCAAATCAGAGCCATGGGAAAGAAAGAGGTAAGTCACAGAGGCAACTCTTTGGAGGAATAAGAACAAAGGGATTGAAGTATGTCAGAAAATATGAATAACTGATAACCTGTAATAGAAACATGGTCAGAGCCTTCAGAAGGAAACTTTAAGAAGAGGAACAAGTGACTCCCAAGGACTTTGGAGCTAGAAGGGGGCCACGGGGATCATGTCCAAATCTCACTTTTCTGATAAAGAAACTAAGACCGAGAAAGGTTAAAAGACTTTTCAAAAGTTTTTCCAGAACCAGATCTTATCTCAGGGAATTGCCCTTTGCACTAGGCCGTGGAACTAGAGAATAAATGGGAAGAGGCAAAATGAGAGGGAATCCAAGCAAAAGTAAAAATTTGACAGCTAGATCTTAAATTAATTTCTCAATCTTCCCTAGAATTTATGAACTCTTTTTTCTTGTGGGGACCACTGTATTTTAGGAGCCAATTCCATTCTGATAACTAAGTACCTTAAACTATTTCAATCAAATAATAATCCATTCCCCACATTGGAGACTGTGCCCAGGAACAGGATCATTCAATGACTAATTTAAGTATTGAGAAAATTTTTGATCATGCCTAATTGATTCCTAATTATATTTTGAGTGCAAATCCTTTAAATCTGCCCTTGGTAGAGTGTATTCATTTACATTTATTCATTCAACAAATATTTTTAAAGCACCTATTATGTGCTAAGTACCTAGTACACAATAGAAAATAAAACAAACACTGTCCAGTTTATTATTATGCAGCTATTTTGCAATTGGACTTCAATCTTTTGGTGATAATTGGACTTCAACCTTTTGTTTGTTTTTCACATTATTTCCATTTCCAAATTATGCTGCTCCTTTATTCATCATCCATAATTGGGGTAATCCCAGGATTCTTAGCGACTTCTGATGTGGCTCCTCACTTACCCTGGAACTGTCTTATGGCCTCAAAATGAGCCAAGACATGGAGTTGATCAGAGCGAGCTTACTGTAGAAGATAGTCCAAAGTAAGAAGAGCTGATGGGGCAAATCAAAGCCAGAATACTTGAGGAGAACTAAGAGGAGATGAAATCCAAAAGGCAACCTGCTAGTCCAAAGGGGCTGGATAGCAAATGAGGTAAAAGAGAGAGGAGCTAAGAACTGGAAGAGTTGCTGTAAATAATTGACTTTACTGGACTTTTGTGGGTTTGAGGTGAATAGCACTGGCTCAAATATGAAGTTAAAGATGCATGGTGTACCTAGAAGAGAACATAGGCAAAACATTATCTGATGTAAATCATAGCAATGTTTTCTTAGGTCAGTCTCCCAAGGCAATAGAAATAAAATCAAAAATAAACAAATGGGACCTAATCAAACTTATAAGATTTTGCACAGCAAAGGAAACCATAAGCAAAATGAAAAGACAGCCTAGGGAACGGGAGGAAATATTTGCAAATGATACGACTGATGAGGGCTTAATTTCCAAAAGATACAAACAGCTTATACAACTCAATAACCATAAAAACAAACAACCCAGTTGAAAAATGGGCAGAAGACCTAAATAGACATTTCTCCAAAGAAGTCATACAGATGGCCAACAGGAACATGAAAAGATGCTCAACATCAATAATTATTAGAGAAATGCAAGTCAAAACTACAATGAGGTATCACCTCACAGTGGTCAGAATGGCCATCATTAAAAAGTTAACAAATAGGGCTTCCCTGGTGGCTCAGTGGTTGAGAGTCTGCCTGCCGATGCAGGGGACATGGGTTCGTGCCCCGGTCCGGGAAGATCCCACATGCCGCGGAGCGGCTGGGCCCGTGAGCCATGGCTGCTGAGCCTGCGTGTCTGCAGCCTGTGCTCTGCAACGGGAGAGGCCACAACAGTGAGAGGCCCGCGTACCAAAAAAAAAAAAAAAAAAAAAAAAGTTAACATAAAAAGGGAAAGCTCCTACACTGTTGGTGGGGATGTAAATTGGTGCTGCTACTATGGAAAAGAGTATGGAGGTTCCTTAAAAAACTAAAAATAGGGTTACCATATAATCCAGCAATCCCACTCCCAGGTATACATCCAGAAAAGACAAAAACTCTTAATTCGAAAAGATACATGCACCCCAACGTTCATAGCAGCACTATTTACAATAGCCAAGACATGGAAGCAACCTAAATGTCCATCAACAGATGAATGGATAAAGAAGATGTGGTATATATACACAATGGAATATTACTCAGCCATAAAAAAGAATGAAATAATGCCATTTGCAGCAACACGGATGGACCTAGAGATTATCATACTAAGTGAAGTAAGTCAGAAAGAGAAAGACAAATGTCATATGATATTGCTTATATGTGGAATCTAAAACACAATGGAAATGAACTTACAAAACAGAAATAGACTCACAGACAGGAAAACAAATTTATGGTTACCAAAGGGGGAAGAGGGTTGGGGAAGGACAAATTAGGAGTTTGGGATTAGCAGATACAACCTACTATATACAAAAGAGATCCATGAGAGTCAGTTTCTAAAGGCACTAGTTAAGACAAAATCATCTGGAGGCAAAGCTGAACATCTCTGAGGAAGGAATGCACCAGAGACTGTTTCGCTCTGGTATTGGAACAGACGATCATTTCTTTGACTGAGTATCAAAGGATGTATAAGGCCTGCATTTAGGGGATAGGTAGAATAAAAAGTATCAATATAGAATCATACTTGTGTTTATATTAGAGAGGGACAGGAGAACCGAGAGACTCACTGTGTGCTCACTGAATGGAATGCTAGAGTGGGATGAACTGCATTCCGACTACATTCCTTAAGTTGTTGTTTCTCCCTTTCTTCCACAGACCTTAATGTGATTATAATTGAATTTGCATATTGAAATTTCATTTAAATTTTAAATTAAGTTAAAATATTAAAATTAACCAACAATCTTCAGGCCTGCCCATCTTTGTGACCTCTAGAAGTTAAGTCCAGTCAAAAACCAAAGCAGGGGATTTCCCTGGTGGCGCAGTGGTTAAGAATCCACATGCCAATGTAGGGGACACGGGTTCGATCCCTAGTCCAGGAAGATCCCACATGCCGTGGAGCAACTAAGCCCGTGTGCCACAACTACTGAGCCTGTGCTCTAGAGCCTGCGAGCCACAACTACTGAAGCCTGCGTGCCTACAGCCCATGCTCCGCAGCAAGAGAAGCCACCGCAATGAGAAACCCTCACACCACAACCAAGAGTAGCCCCTGGTTGCTGCAACTAGAGAAAGGCTGCGTGCAGCAATGAAGACCCAAATGCAGCCAAAAATAAATTAAAAAAAAAAAAAGGAGTAGAATTGAAAACAAAAACAAAAAAACCCAAAGCAGCTTACAGGTTCATGATTCTGTATCTCCAGATGACAGAATCACCTCAGGATTTAAACCCCAGCCCAAGCCAGAGAAATTCTTTCCTTGTTTTGGGACATAAGGACCAAGCTAGGCCTTCCAACTAGTTATACTCTCAACAAACATTTATCAAATGCATTTCATATTTCACTCACCAGACCTGCATTTAAGGAGCAAGTAGAATTTTAAAAATATGCACTTCTCAACATAGAATCGCATGCATGCTCATATTAAGAGACGAACAACAGAACTGAGATACTATGGTGACAAAGGTAAATGAGACATGGACCTGCCTCTCCTTGACAAGCAGGGAAATGTTAAACAAGAAAACATAATACAGTACAGGGAATTCCCTGCTGGTCCAGTGGTTAGGACTTCACACTTTCACTTCCGGACTTCCAGGGCCTGGGTTCAATCCCTGGTCCTGCAAGCCGTGCAGCGCAGCCTAAAAAAAAAAAGTACACACACACACACACACACATATATATATAATACAATGTGAAGAAATTTCATAGAGTATGCATAAAGTTTCAGGGGAAGAAGAAAGGAGAATTGACTTGGACTGATTGCCACCAGCAATAAATTATCAATCAATTAATCCATTCACCCATTCTTCCCTCCCTACCCCCATCCCTCTATTAAACATATGTCCGTGGTGTTTAGTTACAATATATAAAACACTGTGCTAGATGTCACAAATGCAAAGAGGATAAAAACAGATCCTTCTGGAAGGAGTGTTAACTAGGTATGGGAGGTGAAACAGGTAAGCAGGTAATGCTAATAGCTATAGCTACTCTTTATGGGCCACTTCTTTTTAGATAGGCCTCTCGCTGTTGTGGCCTCTCCCGTTGCGAAGCACAGACTCCGGACGCACAGGCTCAGTGGCCATGGCTCACGGGACTAGCCACTCCGCGGCATGTGGGATCTTCCTGGACCGGGGCACGAACCTGTGTCCCCTGTATCGGCAGATGGACTCTCAACCACTGCGCCACCAGGGAAGTCCGGGCCACTTGTTTTTGACAAGGCTATGTGAGGCTCTGTCTTGCAGTGATCTTGTGAGGTAGACGTTATTATCCCCATTTTACCAACTAGGAAATTGAGGTTTAGAGAGGTTAGTAAATTGCTGAGGGTCATGCCGTCGTGAATTACGGAGCTGAGGATCTAACACATTTTCCTTACAACAAAGTCTGTGCTCAAAGACTACATGGATTCTGGCTGTGACTCTTTGGGTTTAAATTGCCTTTACCACCAATCAGCTGCATGATTTGGGGCATTTTATTTAACTTCTCTGAGCCTTGGTTTCATCATATAAAAATGAGGTTAAAGGAATTCCCTAGGGGTCCAGTGGTTAGGACTCGGTGCTTTCACTGACGAGGGCCTGGGTTCAATCCCTGGTCTGGGAACTAAGATCCTGCAAGACATGTGGCACCGCCAAAATAAAATAAAATAAAAACGAGATTAATAGTGTCTACTTGATAGGATTGTAGTGGAGATTTAACAAAACAGTTAAAGCATCTGGCCCAGTGCCTGGCCAATCTATCAAGCTCACTACATTTGATGGCAATATTATTATGCCAAGTGGTGAGTGCACAGAGAAATGCAGATCAAATGTGTACTCATTCAGAGGAAGGAAAGGTCACTTCTAACTGGAGGGCAGGAGGGTGAATAGATTAAAGGAGCATCATGAAGAATTCACTTAAAATGGAGTTTTCAAAAAAACGTAAGACTTGAGTATTTAGACTCAAATTTAGAATAGAAGGCTCTGTGAGGAAAGCAGCAAGGAGCTTGTTAGCTGTGGGAGGTGACGAGCAATAAAAATGCAAGTAAATAAATTAGATAATTATAGAGAGTGGTAATTAAGCAGGATAATAGGAGAGAAAGTGAGGTGGAAAGGTGGGGTTGGAAAGTAAGCGATTAAGGGGGAAAACTTGATTCTATCACCAGGTAGAGCACTGTTCATATGTAGATCAACTGCTATCTGTGAATGGATACTGAATAGTGGCCCAAACTGATGGAAATGCAAATACTCTTAGAAACAGGGGCTATTAGTAATGCAAATATGAAAAAACCTCTTATTAAGCAGAAAAGCAACAAAACCCCCTAATCAATCTTTGAATGAATTGATCTGTGAATCAACACATTCACATCCTCATGATTTTGATGACAAGACATTTTTTCTTTGTCTCTAGTCTGTCTTTTCTTACGCTAGAATTAAGTAAAATTAGTTAAAGCTAAAGCTATCATATTAAAAAAATATATTCCTCTATATTTTTTTTTTTGGCCATGCCACGCAGCTTGGATCTTAGTTCCCCGACCAGGGATCAAACCCAGGACCTCGGCAGTGAAAGCGCAGTCCTAACCACTGGATCACCAGGGAATTCCCAAATCTATCCTATTCTTATTGCTCTTATTTATTCATCCATTCAACAAATATTTTATTGAGAGTTTACCATGTGTCAGGCACTATACCATACCTGGGGAATACAGTGGATGGTCTTTCCTTGGACTTCTCATCTCTTGCTCCAGAGTGCTTTTGGAACAGGAGGACATATCAGGACCCCAGGCAGGTTCTGACACAGGTCTACTGATGTTTTTGGGTAGGGGTAGGAGAGGACCTGGTATTATAAAGGGCCCAGAATATGTCCTGAAATGGTCTATGGTAAGAAGACAATTGAAGAGTTTTGGAAAAGACTTTAATGTCCCCAAATTTTATTTGAACTAAAACATTATTTGCCTTTCACATTCCTCTGTGCACTCCATTCCAAGGTTCACCTCATCACTCCTCCTTCTATACCTGTCTTCGTCTTTTGCTATCCAAATTTACCAAATAAATCTCCTCCTTTCCAGAACCATTCCAGCTCCTGCTGTTCTTCACAGCCAGTCTCTGGGCTCAGCCCCAAGCCTTGAGGGGCAGTAAATGGATTCAGAGTTGCTGCTCAAACACAGATCCCCATGGAAACCAAAGGACTAAGAAAACAAAAAGAGAGGAAGAGGCAGCCACTGCCTGACCTTTTATGCTCACTCTTCAAATTCTTTTCGCTCTTGGGCGTGAAGGCAAGTGCTTATTTGTATAACTAGTGGAACCAAAGAACCTGACCCCTGCCCCCACCCCCAAAATTTCTTAAGAACATCTCTTTGATAGTAAGTGAAGAGCAGTGGGACACCTCCACCTGGTGGTAGAAATACCAAATTACCTCCAAGACGCGAGATTTATGAGTGACTTAGCGGCAAAAGGAAGAGGATGCAAAGACATAACATGCAGGAGCAACTCCTACGAAAGTGTTTAGCATTTAGTACCTGCTCCTTCTCACATATATATATATATCTATATATATATA